GGAAGGGGGGAGGAGGGGGGGAGGAGGGGGGGGGAGGAGAGAGGGGGAGGAGGGAGGGAGGGGGGAGGGGGGGAGGAGGGGGGAGGAGAGAGGAGGGGGGGGGGGGGGAGGAGGGGGGAGGGGGGAGGAGGGGGGATGAGGGGGGAGGGAGGGGGAGGGAGGGGGAGGGAGGGGGGAGGAGAGAGGAGGGAGGTCTACAGCCTCAGTCCTGGGTCTACAGCCTCAGTCCTGGGTCTAGAGCCTCTGTCCTGGGTCTACAGCCTCAGTCCTGGGTCGTCAGCCTCAGTCCTGGGTCTACAGCCTCAGTCCTGGGCCTACAGCCTCAGTCCTGGGTCTACAGCCTCAGTCCTGGGTCTACAGCCTCAGTCCTGGGTCTACAGCCTCAGTCCTGGGTCTACAGCCTCAGTCCTGGGTCTACAGCCTCAGTCCTGGGTCTAAAGCCTCAGTCCTGGGTCTACAGCCTCAGTCCTGGGTCTACAGCCTCAGGTTTTTAGAGTTCTAAAGACAGTGATGATCCAGGACACTCCACATTTAATGATATTTATGGACTTTAGAAAGATTTATAGACATTGATCTCTGCTGCTTATGGACCAATGGATCTATGAGAGAGACCAGAGAGAGACCGAGAGAGACCAGAGAGAGACCAGAGAGAGACCAGAGAGAGACCAGAGAGACCAGAGAGAGACCAGAGAGAGACCAGAGAGACCAGAGAGACCAGAGAGAGACCAGAGAGAGAGCAGAGAGAGACCAGAGAGAGACCAGAGAGACCAGAGAGAGACCAGAAAGAGACCAGAGAGAGACCAGAGAGAGAGACCAGAGAGAGAGTCCTCGGATATAGCTACTTTTGTGATTTAGGTTTATACAAAAATAAACTGAATCGTATGGTGTGTGTGTGTGTTTAGTGTGTGTGCGTGTGTGTGTGTGTGTGTTTAGTGTGTTTAGTGTTAGCCTTGAGCCTAAACAGCTGATCCATTTGAGCGGGACCAGCAAGAGTCAGAGAGTAAAGTAAGCAAGAGTGTGTGGGAGTAAAAACAGGTATGAGAGAAGATCGACCTCCGCTGCCATCAACCATTGTGATCACAACACCAGGAATCTATACCAGAGAGAGACCAGAGAGAGAACAGAGAGAGACCAGAGAGAGAGCAGAGAGAGACTAGAGAGAGAGACCAGAGAGAGACCAGAGAGAGACAAGAGAGAGAGACCAGAGAGAGACCAGAGAGAGACCAGAGAGAGAGACCAGAGAGAGAGACCAGAGAGAGAACAGAGAGAGACCATAGAGAGACCAGAGAGAGACCAGAGAGAGACCAGAGAGAGACCATAGAGAGACCAGAGAGAGACCAGAGAGAGAGACCAGAGAGAGACCAGAGAGAGACCAGAGAGAGACCAGAGAGAGACCAGAGAGAGACCAGACAGAGAGACTAGAGAGACCATAGAGAGACCAGAGAGAGACCAGGGAGAGAACAGAGAGAGACCAGAGAGAGACAAGAGAGAGAGACCAGAGAGAGACCAGAGAGAGACCAGAGAGAGACCAGAGAGAGACCAGAGAGAGACCAGAGAGAGACCAGAGAGAGAGACTAGAGAGACCATAGAGAGACCAGAGAGAGAGACCAGAGAGAGACCAGAGAGAGACCAGAGAGAGACAAGAGAGAGAGACCAGAGAGAGACCAGAGAGAGACCAGAGAGAGAGACCAGAGAGAGACCAGAGAGAGACCATAGAGAGACCAGAGAGAGACCAGAGAGAGACCAGAGAGAGAGACCAGAGAGAGACCAGAGAGAGACCAGAGAGAGACCAGAGAGAGACCAGAGAGAGACCAGAGAGAGAGACCAGAGAGAGAGACCAGAGAGAGCCCAGAGAGAGACCAGAGAGAGAGAGAGACCCGAGAGAGACCAGAGAGAGACCAGAGAGAGACCAGAGAGAGACCAGAGAGAGAGACTAGAGAGAGAGAGACCAGAGAGAGACCAGGGAGAGAACAGAGAGAGACCAGAGAGAGACAAGAGAGAGAGACCAGAGAGAGACCAGAGAGAGACCAGAGAGAGACCAGAGAGAGACCATAGAGAGAGACTAGAGAGACCATAGAGAGACCAGAGAGAGACCAGACAGAGAGACTAGAGAGACCATAGAGAGACCAGAGAGAGACCAGGGAGAGAACAGAGAGAGACCAGAGAGAGACAAGAGAGAGAGACCAGAGAGAGACCAGTGTCCCGTGGCCCAAACTCTCTCCTTCTTCTCAGCACTGCACCAAAAGCACCTCAGCCCCGACTGAAGCCATTACAAGGGAAAGAGTAGTCTCATCGCGGTCCTGGAGGAGCGTGAGTGGCAGGAGAGCCCGGCGTATCATGCAGCATTAGAGAAAATCCCCTTCGCTGCTGACAAAGGCTGCAGCTCGTCGCATTTACATCCTGCTGCAGACAAGAGCAGACTGTGCAGAGCATCACCTCTGCTGCTGCTCTGACCGCCACGGGAGCTCTGACCGCCACACTGTAAACCCTAACTTCAATCCTACTTCAGATATCAAAGTTATTTTAAATAGATTTTTACCAGTAAGTAGATATTACTCATTTATTGCTAGTTTATTTAAAGCTTGCCTATGTCACTCAGGGTTTTGTTTCTGTGAACTGAAACTTGAACTGTTTCTGTTCAAGTAAGCCTCACTTTTGACATTTTGATGTGTAGAGTCTTTAATGAGGCAGGTGTGACAATGGCAGGGTGTCTTGGTGGCTGAATGGGTAGCACCATTGACTCTCAACTACAGGGTTCTGAGTACGAATCCCGGTCGGAGCATAAGTAGAAATTTAAACTTTATTGCAATCACTCGAGTTTACTTGGTAATATCAAGTAAACGATGTACTCGAGGAATTCAAGTGAAGTTAATACGCAATTTATTTCCATGGTTTTTTCAAGTAAACTTTACTTGTCAGGGTTTACAGTGACGGGAGCTCTGACCGCCTCTGACCGCCACGGGAGCTCTGACCGCCACCGAAGCTCTGACCGCCACGGGAGCTCTGACCGCCACCGAAGCTCTGACCGCCACGGGAGCTCTGACCGCCACCGAAGCTCTGACCGCCTCTGACCGCCACGGGAGCTCTGACCGCCACGGGAGCTCTGACCGCCACCGAAGCTCTGACCGCCACGGGAGCTCTGACCGCCACCGGAGCTCTGACCGCCTCTGACCGCCACGGGAGCTCTGACCGCCTCTGACCGCCACGGGAGCTCTGACCGCCACGGGAGCTCTGACCGCCACCGGAGCTCTGACCGCCACGGGAGCTCTGACTGCCACGGGAGCTCTGACCGCCACGGGAGCTCTGACTGCCACGGGAGCTCTGACCGTCACCGGAGCTCTGACCGCCTCTGACCGCCACGGGAGCTCTGACCGCCACCGGAGCTCTGACCGCCACCGGAGCTCTGACCGCCACGGGAGCTCTCACCGCCACGGGAGCTCTCACCGCCACGGGAGCTCTGACCGCCACGGGAGCTCTCACCGCCGCTGACCGCCACGGGAGCTCTGACCGCCACGGGAGCTCTGACCGCCACCGGAGCTCTGACCGCCACCGGAGCTCTGACCGCCACGGGAGCTCTCACCGCCACGGGAGCTCTCACCGCCACGGGAGCTCTCACCGCCACGGGAGCTCTGACCGCTACGGGAGCTCTCACCGCCGCTGACCGCCACGGGAGCTCTGACCGCCACGGGAGCTCTGACCGCCACCGGAGCTCTGACCGCCACGGGAGCTCTGACTGCCACGGGAGCTCTGACTGCCACGGGAGCTCTGACCGCCACCGGAGCTCTGACCGCCTCTGACCGCCACGGGAGCTCTGACCGCCACCGGAGCTCTGACCGCCTCTGACTGCCACGGGAGCTCTGACAGCCACGGGAGCTCTGACCGCCACCGGAGCTCTGACCGCCACCGGGAGCTCTGACCGCCTCTGACCGCCACGGGAGCTCTGACCGCCTCTGACCGCCACGGGAGCTCTGACCGCCACGGGAGCTCTGACCGCCACGGGAGCTCTGACCGCCACAGGAGCTCTGACCGCCTCTGACCGCCACCGGAGCTCTGACCGCCACCGGAGCTCTGACCGCCACCGGAGCTCTGACCGCCACGGGAGCTCTCACCGCCACCGGAGCTCTGACCGCCACCGGAGCTCTGACCGCCACCGGAGCTCTGACCGCCACGGGAGCTCTGACCGCCACGGGAGCTCTGACCGCCACAGGAGCTCTGACCGCCTCTGACCGCCACGGGAGCTCTGACCGCCACGGGAGCTCTGACCGCCACGGGAGCTCTGACCGCCACCGGAGCTCTGACCGCCACCGGAGCTCTGACCGCCACGGGAGCTCTCACCGCCACCGAAGCTCTGACCGCCACGGGAGCTCTGACCGCCACCGGAGCTCTGACCGCCTCTGACCGCCACGGGAGCTCTGACCGCCACGGGAGCTCTGACCGCCACCGGAGCTCTGACCGCCACGGGAGCTCTGACTGCCACGGGAGCTCTGACCGCCACGGGAGCTCTGACTGCCACGGGAGCTCTGACCGTCACCGGAGCTCTGACCGCCTCTGACCGCCACGGGAGCTCTGACCGCCACCGGAGCTCTGACCGCCACCGGAGCTCTGACCGCCACGGGAGCTCTCACCGCCACGGGAGCTCTCACCGCCACGGGAGCTCTGACCGCCACGGGAGCTCTCACCGCCGCTGACCGCCACGGGAGCTCTGACCGCCACGGGAGCTCTGACCGCCACCGGAGCTCTGACCGCCACCGGAGCTCTGACCGCCACGGGAGCTCTCACCGCCACGGGAGCTCTGACCGCTACGGGAGCTCTCACCGCCGCTGACCGACACGGGAGCTCTGACCGCCACGGGAGCTCTGACCGCCACCGGAGCTCTGACCGCCACGGGAGCTCTGACTGCCACGGGAGCTCTGACTGCCACGGGAGCTCTGACCGCCACCGGAGCTCTGACCGCCTCTGACCGCCACGGGAGCTCTGACCGCCACCGGAGCTCTGACCGCCACGGGAGCTCTGACCGCCACCGGAGCTCTGACCGCCACGGGAGCTCTGACCGCCTCTGACCGCCACGGGAGCTCTGACCGCCTCTGACCGCCACGGGAGCTCTGACCGCCACGGGAGCTCTGACCGCCACGGGAGCTCTGACCGCCACGGGAGCTCTGACCGCCACAGGAGCTCTGACCGCCTCTGACCGCCACCGGAGCTCTGACCGCCACCGGAGCTCTGACCGCCACCGGAGCTCTGACCGCCACGGGAGCTCTCACCGCCACCGGAGCTCTGACCGCCACGGGAGCTCTGACCGCCTCTGACCGCCACGGGAGCTCTGACCGCCACGGGAGCTCTGACCGCCACAGGAGCTCTGACCGCCTCTGACCGCCACGGGAGCTCTGACCGCCACGGGAGCTCTGACCGCCACCGGAGCTCTGACCGCCACCGGAGCTCTGACCGCCACGGGAGCTCTCACCGCCACCGGAGCTCTGACCGCCACGGGAGCTCTGACCGCCTCTGACCGCCACGGGAGCTCTCACCGCCACGGGAGCTGCCGGCCTTTAAAGAGAGGGCTTAGGACTGTTTAAGACTTTGATATTACTCTGCAACTGCTTTATTACTGCTTTATTACTGCTTTATTACTGCTTTATTACTGTTTTATTACTGCTTTATTACTGCTTTCTTGTCTATAATGCGGATAAATTAAACCTGCATCTGTCTAAAAACAATTTTAAAAGGAGCAGATACAGGAGAGTCTGAGGATAGTAATGATCCAGGACGTTTACAGACTTTTATGGACATTTATTATACACAGAGAGACTAGAGAGAGACCTGAGAGAGACCAGAGAGAGACCAGAGAGAGACCAGAGAGAGACCAGAGAGAGGGACCAAAGAGACCAGAGAGAGACCAGCGAGAGAGACCAGAGAGACCAGAGAGAGACCAGAGAGAGACCAGAGGGAGACCAGAGAGAGACCAGAGAGAGGGACCAAAGAGACCAGAGAGAGACCAGCGAGAGAGACCAGAGAGACCAGAGAGAGACCAGAGAGAGACCAGAGAGAGAGAGAGGGACCAGAGAGACCAGAGAGAGACCAGCGAGAGAGACCAGAGAGAGACCAGAGAGAGACCAGAGAGAGACCAGAGAGAGGGACCAGAGAGACCAGAGAGAGACCAAAGAGAGACCAGAGAGAGACATGAGAAAGGGACCAGAGAGACCAGAGAGAGACATGAGAAAGACCAGAGAGAGACCAGAGAGAGAGACCAGAGAGAGACCAGAGAGAGGGACCAGAGAGACCAGAGAGAGACCAGAGAGAGAGACCAGAGAAAGACCAGAGAGAGGGATCAGAGAGAGACCAGAGAGAAACCAGAGAGAGACCAGAGAGAAACCCCTATAGCCTGTGTGTGTATGTGTGTGTATGTGTGTGTGTGTCTGTGTGTGTGTTACCTCGGAGCCCCTCCCCTATGCCCAGGGCCAGTCCGTCTTTGGTCCACTGCACGATGCCGCTGTAGTTGTAGACGACGCAGGACAAAACGACACGCTCCCCCAGCACCACGGACTGGTCTGCAGGCTCCTGGGAGAACCGCACACTCCAGGCTGCAACAGACACACAACAACACCAAAGTCAGACACACAGCAACACACAATCCAGGTCACACAACCTCACAACAGTCAGAAACCAGCAGCAACACAGAGGAAAGGCCGTGTGTGTAAAACAACATCAGATAATCATCTTCTGACCGTGAGCAGAAATCTCCATCCCCCCGCGCTCAGTCGTGTACTTCCCCTTTATGACTGGTCTCTCTCTGGTCTCTCTCTGGTCTCTCTCCGGTCCCTCTCTCTGGTCTCTCTGGTCTCTCTCTGGTCTCTCTCTGGTCTCTCTCTGGTCTCTCTCTGGCCTCTCTCTGGTCTCTCTCTGGTCTCTCTCTGGTCCCTCTCTCTGGTCTCTCTCTGGTCTCTCTGGTCTCTCTCTGGTCTCTCTCTGGTCTCTCTCTGGTCTCTCTCTGGTCTCTCTCTGGTCTCTCTCTGGTCTCTCTCTGGTCTCTCTCTGGTCCCTCTCTCTGGTCTCTCTGGTCTCTCTGGTCTCTCTCTGGTCTCTCTCTGGTCTCTCTCTGGTCTCTCTCTGGTCTCTCTCTGTCTCTCTCTGGTCTCTCTCCGGTCCCTCTCTCTGGTCTCTCTGGTCTCTCTCTGGTCTCTCTCTGGTCTCTCTCTGGTCTCTCTCTGGCCTCTCTCTGGTCTCTCTCTGGTCTCTCTCTGGCCTCTCTATGCTCTGTGGTCTCTGTATTTGTATGAATCTGTTTAATGTCCTGTAAACTTGTGTCCAAAAGTGGTACTGCAGCCTCTCCCACTCTCCCTGACTCAGGTTGCCAGATATGCAGACGAATCCAGCTGGGAACAGCTGAATAGACAAGAGTTTTGTCAACAACAAATCTATAACCAACACCTTTTTCACTAAGATAGAAATCCTGGTTTTATTCCTTGTTTTGTCGTTAATGATTTGAGAATCATAACGAGACCTTTTTTAGTTCTGCGCCACATGGTACTTTACCAGTGAGATTAGCTCCACATGGTACTTTACCAGTGAGATTAGCTCCACATGGTACTTTACCAGTGAGATTAGCTCCACATGGTACTTTACCAGTGAGATTAGCTCCACATGGTACTTTACCAGTGAGATTAGCTCCACATGGTACTTTACCAGTGAGATCAGCTCCACACGGTGAGTTCTGGCGCCCGGATCACAGACTTTCTGATTGGTGAAACGGTGGAGGGCGGGACATCGAAATGAAAACAATAACAAGATTTAGAGGCTGGAAAAGTAATTTAGAAATTCAAATATCTCTGAGTGTGTGTGTTACACCAGACGTCCTTTATTATATATAATTTATAGTATCACAAAAAACTTTAATAATAAAAACAAACAGACTCTGACGTGTGGAGTTTGAAACTCGTCTGTTTGGACTCGAGGAGAAAGTCGCACAATTATCTCCATTCCTTCATCGTATTTACAGAAGATATTTTTACCTCAGCGCGACTCTGAGAGACTGAGCCGCGAGCGCACACACACACACAAACGTACACACACATACACACACACACACGTACACACACACACACAAACGTACACACACATACACACACACACACACACGTACACACACACACACAAACGAACACACACATACACACACACACACGTACACACACACACACAAACGTACACACACACACACACGTACACACACACACACACAAACGTACACACACACACACAAACGTACACACACGCACGCACACACACATACACACACACACACACACGTACACACACACACATACACATACACACACATACACATACACACACACACACACACGTACACACATACACATACACACACACACACACACACACACATACACACAGGTGAGCAGCATGTTTGCAGACTTTTGCATCATCACTTGTTTCATATTCAGTGAGCAGCAGAAACACACAACACACAGACACACACGCACACACAACACATAGACACACACACACACACACACACACACACACAGGAGGCACAAACAGGAGCAGAGCGCGACAGGGGGGGGTCGGCCCGATGTTCCCCGGGTCCGGTGTTCCCCGGGTCCGGTGTTCCCCGGGTCCGGTGTTCCCCGGGTCCGGTGTTCCCCGGGTCCGGTGTTCCCCGGGTCCGGAGTTCCCCGGGGCGGGGAACACCGGACCCGGGGAACATCGGACCTTCCAAACGCCGGAGGGCCCGGTGTTCCCCGACTGCGGGCCTCGCTCATAGACATGTTATTGCTGCGCGCGGATAATGGAGCAACAAGCGGCTTTCGCTCATAACTAGTCTATAGGGCTACTGAATACTTTATATTATAAGCCTAGTAGATCTCGCATTGTAGTAGCCAACTACATTTTTACAACCTACCACCTCAGAATAAGAACGTGTTGCAGATAAGAAAAGTAAAATTAGCTCCACCACCTTTTCTTTTTGGAAACATATCTCCCTCCGTTCATCCTCGCAACAGTATATCGGCGCCAGGTTTGCAATTTTGGGTAGGCCTGCAGATTAGTAAGTAGGCCAAATTCGCTTGCAAACTACAAGGGCTAACTGGAATTTGGGTTTCAAAGAATATGGTTCAAACGCACACACGCACGCACACGCACTCACGCGCGCACATACACACAAGCTCATTTATGAAACTTGCGTTGAAAAAGGTGTACATTTTGGGTGTATATTCCATTTACGCAATTTGCCAAAATGTTTTGATACATTAGAAAAATCCTTATTGAATTGTAGAAGTGAATAAATATAGATTGATTGAATGAATGAATTAATTCATATATATCATGCAGCGGTGGCTCTCATGAATGAAGCGTCTGCAGCGTCTTGGACGCAGCCTGGCTCGGGGTAGAAGTGCGCATTGAGGCGCTGTACACTTCAGAGAGCGTTTGCGGTCCAGATTTCACAAAGAAACTCTGGAGCCAAAACTTCTGCACATGTGGCGCGACCTCTCACGGCACTCGCTGCGCACTCTGGACAGGGCAGTGAGACGTTTGAGTGAGCAATACCATCGATGCGGTATTGGGGTGTGTGTCTGTGTGAGGCTTACACAAATCTAATGAAATAACACATTGCTTTACCAGATGTGAGGAATACAAATAGCCGTGCGTAATTACGCAGCGCAGAGCCTGCCACAGCAATAGATGGGTCACACATCCCTGTTGCGTAAAGTGTATAGAGCCTTTCACTGTCCAGGATCACAAAGCGCTTCACATTTTAAAAACATATAGATCAAAATAATACACACACAAGTCAGATTTAATAGAGGGTCCTCATCATGAGCTGTGATTTATTCGAAGTTTGCGTGTTTCCATTAGACTTTTTCTGATGCGCAAATTAAAATTTTGAAACATGATCCTCAATGAAAACACAGCTTATAATTTTGCCAGAGGGAATATGTTTATTGTTGTACATATCTTGAATTTCATGCGTGTTGTGCCGAAGGTTGAGTTCAGCGTATAGATTTACAACACCTCCAGACCTGGCGTTCATTTTTTGCGTATTGTACGCTCACGTCCAGATAGATAAATGCGGAAAAGTGTAATATTTTGCGTACGCCTCATTTACCCTGATTTGGCCGTACGCAGGTTTCATACATGAGGCCCACAGTGAGGCCCACAGTGAGGCCCAAAGTGAGGCCCACAGTGAGGCCTACAGTGAGGCCTACAGTGAGGCCCACAGTGTGTCTCACACAGGCCTAGAGTTTACCTCATCAGTGCGAGGCGAGCCTGGCCTGACCGCGCTCTCCTCCTCTGGGACCTACGGGCCCGGGCCTCTGCTCCTCTACCACAAAGTTCACGCTGAACTTTCTTAAAATTAAAATGAAAAAGGCTGCTCTGTTGTGAATGTTTTGAGAGCGTTGTCAATCTTTAAGACGAGGAATAGCTGGTTGTTCTCGCTTCACGCTGTGTGATATGATATTGGACAAAATTGTTCAGCCAATAAACAGGATTTGAAGCAACTTAGGAACGTGATGACGCTCAGGGGGTTATATTATTATTATAATTATTATTATTATTCCCCCCACTGTAGGAGCCAATACACTTTTCAATATTTTTGAATTCTGAGCGTTTCCACATTGTATTTAAAAATGGGAAACCTAATTAAACAATCATGAATTGAGCTTTTCCGATCTTATTTTACACTGATTCCTTTGATCATTTTTTTCTTAAAGTTCAAGTTGTAAAAATGCTATGTTTGAATTGTTATTTACATTTTTTTGAGTGACACGTAAGGCGGGACAACAATTGACGCACGCATTTTGAACATATTTAAAGTTTTACAACACAAAAACGACGTCATATATATGCGTGTAAAAGACACATTATGCGTAAAAGCACAGTGCCCTCAGCAAAACCAGTATTGACAGAGCACACAAAGAGCGAGAGGGAAAAAGAAAAGTAAATAGGCTTAGGCTAGTTAGTATTTTTTCTCTCACAAAAGTTGGCGCGGATCATATGCCATCTTTCGTGGGAGGAGGAAACATCAAACATCAAAGCGCGCACGCGGGGAACAGCGGGACTAGTCTCGTTGTTGAAGTCCCCGATGTTCCCCCACTTCTATTGGCGGGGGGAACATCGGACCCGGGGAAACATCGGGACTTTTTAATACGCGAAGTACCGATGTTCCCCGGGTCCGATGTTCCCCCGCCTATAGAAGTGGGGGAACATCGGAAACCCGGGGAACATGTGTGTCTGTGTGTGTCTGTGTGTATGTGTGTGTCTGTGTGTATGTGTGTACAGTATAAGTGTGTGTCTGTGTCATGTATAATGTGTGTTGTGTTGTGCAGGTGGCGACAGTAAAACAGAGAACTGGACCTGGGCTCAGTATCTGGAGGAAACCAAATGTGTTGCTGCTCCGTCCAAACTGTTCCACCAGGTGGCGCTCTTCAAACGTCTGCCTCCATATTCACCTGACGAGCCCTGATTGGACGAGGCTGGTCAGCGTATCGTCCAATCAAAAAGATCCAGCATGTTCTCCGCATGTAACATTGTCTCTCCATTGTCTCTGTGAAATGTTTTTGTTTATTTGTTTATCTGCAGTAAAACCCCATCGGAATACACGTGCAAGAGTCCCCAGGGTGCACCAGACAGTACAGACATAAATCAAGCTAAAACGTACAGAAACCATCATCAGGGTGAAAGGTTTATTGATCCCCGTAAGAGAAATGCAGGTGTCCAGTAGCAGGACGGGTCACAGCAGCAGAGGTGGAGTAGCCTCTGGGTGGAGCAGGACGGGTCACAGCAGCAGAGGTGGAGTAGCCTCTGGGTGGAGCAGGACGGGTCACAGCAGCAGAGGTGGAGTAGCCTCTGGGTGGAGCAGGACAGGTCACAGCAGCAGAGGTGGAGTAGTCTCTGAGTGGAGCAGGCCGGGTCACAGCAGCAGAGGTGGAGTAGCCTCTGGGTGGAGCAGGACGGGTCACAGCAGCAGAGGTGGAGTAGCCTCTGGGTGGAGCAGGACAGGTCACAGCAGCAGAGGTGGAGTAGCCTCTGGGTGGAGCAGGACGGGTCACAGCAGCAGAGGTGGAGTAGCCTCTGGGTGGAGCAGGACAGGTCACAGCAGCAGAGGTGGAGTAGTCTCTGAGTGGAGCAGGCCGGGTCACAGCAGCAGAGGTGGAGTAGCCTCTGGGTGGAGCAGGACAGGTCACAGCAGCAGAGGTGGAGTAGTCTCTGAGTGGAGCAGGCCGGGTCACAGCAGCAGAGGTGGAGTAGCCTCTGGGTGGAGCAGGACGGGTCACAGCAGCAGAGGTGGAGTAGCCTCTGGGTGGAGCAGGACGGGTCACAGCAGCAGAGGTGGAGTAGCCTCTGGGTGGAGCAGGACGGGTCACAAGGTGGAGTAGCCGCTTGGGTCAGACCATTTTCTCTGCTCTGGTCCAAAATAAAATGCTTCATTAGCATTCAAAAAGTTAGCATTCCTCCAGTGGGTTTTCACCTGATCCACTTGGTTTGGACCATGAATCCTCTCTGCTCTGGTCTGGACCAGTGTAAAACCATGAATCCTCTCTGCTCTGGTCTGGACCAGTGTAAAACCATGAATCCTCTCTGCTCTGGTCTGGACCAGTGTAAAACCATGAATCCTCTCTGCTCTGGTCTGGACCAGTGTAAAACCATGAATCCTCTCTGCTCTGGTCTGGACCAGTGTAAAACCATGAATCCTCTCTGCTCTGGTCTGGACCAGTGTAAAACCATGAATCCTCTCTGCTCTGGTCTGGACCAGTGTAAAACCATGAACACTGTACTGCAGTGTTTCAGAGACAGTTAGGACCTGCAGCCGTTTTCCAGCGCATTCCAAAGACATGTTAGCATGTTAGCATGTTAGCATATCCAGATGATATCTTCTGCTAGAGGGAAGAAGCTGGAACATGGCTTTTCCGGGGGCCAGAAGGGTCTTTGATAATTTCCCCCTCATTCATTCATTCATTAAATCAATTTTCCTGAGCTACAACTGTTCTGTGATTATTTATGATTTTAATACTTTTGTGATAGTTTCTTGTTTTGTTCATCACTTTGACCTTTGACCTGTGCTATCAAAATAAACCTGCCGTTCATTCATTGGTAATGTGTGACGTGTTGCTGTGGTCTCCAGTGTCAGAGACTTCCTGAGGAGAGAAACGGCTTCAGGCCCGGGATGAAGCTGGAGGGAATCGACCCCCAACACCCGTCTATGTACTTTGTCCTGACAGTGGCTGAGGTGAGTGGGCTTTGACCTGAGTGTGGCTGACGTGAGTGGGCTTTGACCTGAGTGTGGCTGAGGTGAGTGGGCTTTGACCTGAGTGTGGCTGACGTGAGTGGGCTTTGACCTGAGTGTGGCTGAGGTGAGCAGGCTTTGACCTGAGTGTGGCTGAGGTGGTTGGGCTTTGACTCGAGTGTGGCTGAGGTGGTTGGGCTTTGACCTGAGTGTGGCTGAGGTGAGTGGGCTTTGACCTGAGTGTGGCTGAGGTGGTTGGGCTTTGACCTGAGTGTGGCTGAGGTGAGCAGGCTTTGACCCGAGTGTGGCCGAGGTGAGCGGGCTTTGACCTGAGTGTGGCTGAGGTGAGCGGGCTTTGACCCAAGTGTGGCTGAGGTGGTTGGGCATTGACCTGAGTGTGGCTGAGGTGGTTGGGCTTTGACCTGAGTGTGGCTGAGGTGGTTGGGCTTTGACCTGAGTGTGGCTAAGGTGAGCGGGCTTTGACCTGAGTGTGGCTGAGGTGAGCGGGCTTTGACCCGAGTGTGGCTGAGGTGGTTGGGCTTTGACCTGAGTGTGGCTGAGGTGGTTGGGCTTTGACCTGAGTGTGGCTGAGGTGAGCGGGCTTTGACCCGAGTGTGGCTGAGGTGGTTGGGCTTTGACCTGAGTGTGGCTGAGGTGAGCAGGCTTTGATCCGAGTGTGGCCGAGGTGGTTGGGCTTTGACCTGAGTGTGGCTGAGGTGGTTGGGCTTTGACCTGAGTGTGGCTGAGGTGGTTGGGCTTTGACCTGAGTGTGGCTGAGATGGTTGGGCTTTGACCCGAGTGTGGCTGAGGTGGTTGGGCTTTGACCTGAGTGTGGCTGAGGTGGTTGGGCTTTGACCTGAGTGTGGCTGAGGTGGTTGGGCTTTGACCCGAGTGTGGCTGAGGTGGTTGGGCTTTGACCTGAGTGTGGCTGAGGTGGTTGGGCTTTGACCCGAGTGTGGCTGAGGTGGTTGGGCTTAGACCTGAGTGTGGCTGAGGTGGTTGGGCTTTGACCTGAGTGTGGCTGAGGTGAGCAGGCTTTGACCTGAGTGTGGCCGAGGTGAGCGGGCTTTGACCTGAGTGTGGCTGAGGTGGTTGGGCTTCGACCTGAGTGTGGCTGAGGTGAGCGGGCTTTGACCTGAGTGTGGCTGAGGTGAGCGGGCTTTGACCCGAGTGTGGCTGAGGTGAGCGGGCTTTGACCTGAGTGTGGCTGAGGTGAGTGGGCCTTGAGCCGAGTGTGGCTGAGGTGGTTGGGCTTTGACCCGAGTGTGGCTGAGGTGAGCGGGCTTTGACCTGAGTGTGGCTGAGGTGGTTGGGCTTTGACCCGAGTGTGGCTGAGGTGGTTGGGCTTTGACCTGAGTGTGGCCGAGGTGAGCAGGCTTTGACCTGAGTGTGGCTGAGGTGAGCGGGCTTTGACCTGAGTGTGGCCGAGGTGAGCAGGCTTTGACCTGAGCGTGGCTGAGGTGAGCGGGCTTTGACCCGAGTGTGGCTGAGGTGGTTGGGCTTTGACCTGAGCGTGGCTGAGGTGAGCAGGCTTTGACCTGAGTGTGGCTGAGGTGAGCAGGCTTTGACCTGAGTGTGGCTGAGGTGGTTGGGCTTTGACCCGAGTGTGGCTGAGGTGAGCGGGCTTTGACCTGAGTGTGGCTCAGGTGGTTGGGCTTTGACCCGAGTGTGGCTGAGGTGGTTGGGCTTTGACCTGAGTGTGGCTGAGGTGAGCGGGCTTTGACCTGAGTGTGGCCGAGATGAGCGGGCTTTGACCTGAGCGTGGCTGAGGTGAGCGGGCTTTGACCCGAGTGTGGCTGAGGTGGTTGGGCTTTGACCTGAGTGTGGCTGAGGTGGTTGGGCTTTGACCCGAGTGTGGCTGAGGTGAGCGGGCTTTGACCTGAGTGTGGCTGAGGTGGTTGGGCTTTGACCTGAGTGTGGCTGAGGTGAGCGGGCTTTGACCTGAGTGTGGCTGAGGTGGTTGGGCTTTGACCTGAGTGTGGCTGAGGTGAGCGGGCCTTGACCCGAGTGTGGCTGAGGTGGTTGGGCTTTGACCTGAGTGTGGCTGAGGTGAGCAGGCTTTGACCTGAGTGTGGCCGAGGTGAGTGGGCTTTGACCTGAGTGTGGCTGAGGTGGTTGGGCTTTGACCTGAGTGTGGCTGAGGTGAGCGGGCTTTGACCCGAGTTTGGCTGAGGTGGTTGGGCTTTGACCTGAGTGTGGCTGAGGTGAGCAGGCTTTGACCTGAGTGTGGCCGAGGTGAGTGGGCTTCGACCCGAGTGTGGCTGAGGTGGTTGGGCTTTGACCTGGGTGTGGCTGAGGTGGTTGGGCTTTGACCTGAGTGTGGCTGAGGTGGTTGGGCTTTGACCTGAGTGTGGCTGAGGTGAGCAGGCTTTGACCTGAGTGTGGCCGAGGTGAGTGAGCTTCGACCCGAGTGTGGCTGAGGTGGTTGGGCTTTGACCTGAGTGTGGCTGAGGTGGTTGGGCTTTGACCCGAGTGTGGCTGAGGTGGTTGGGCTTTGACCTGAGTGTGGCCGAGGTGAGCAGGCTTTGACCTGAGTGTGGCTGAGGTGAGCAGGCTTTGACCTGAGTGTGGCCGAGGTGAGTGGGCTTCGACCCGAGTGTGGCTGAGGTGGTTGGGCTTTGACCTGAGTGTGGCTGAGGTGGTTGGGCTTTGACCCGAGTGTGGCTGAGGTGGTTGGGCTTTGACCTGAGTGTGGCCGAGGTGAGCAGGCTTTGACCTGAGTGTGGCCGAGGTGAGCAGGCTTTGACCTGAGTGTGGCCGAGGTGAGCAGGCTTTGACCTGAGTGTGGCCGAGGTGAGCAGGCTTTGACCTGAGTATGGCCGAGGTGAGTGGGTTTCGACCCGAGTGTGGCTGAGGTGGTTGGGCTTTGACCTGAGTGTGGCTGAGGTGGTTGGGCTTTGACCCGAGTGTGGCTGAGGTGGTTGGGCTTTGACCTGAGTGTGGCCGAGGTGAGCGGGCTTTGACCTGAGTGTGGCTGAGGTGGTTGGGCTTTGACCCGAGTGTGGCTGAGGTGGTTGGATCGTGACCCTCTCTCTCACAGGTGTGCGGGTACCGGCTGAGGCTGCACTTCGATGGTTACTCCGACTGTCACGACTTTTGGGTCAACGCCAACTCCCCCGACATCCACCAGACCGGCTGGTGCGAGAGCACAGGACACAGGCTGCACACGCCAAAGGGTGAGGAGGGGGAGACCCAGGGTGAGGAGGGGGGAGACCCAGGGGGAGGAGGGGAGAGACCCAGGGTGAGGAGGGGGGAGACCCAGGGGGAGGAGGGGAGAGACCCAGGGGGAGGAGGGGAGAGACCCAGGGGGAGGAGGAGGGAGACTCCTTCAGGCGGTAAATACTTTAGTTACAAAAGTTACAGTTACATCAATTGTGTGTATGGTGTGTGTGTGTGTGTGTGTGTGTGCGTGTGCGTGTGCGTGTGCGTGCGTGCGTGCGTGTGCGTGTATGGTGTGTGTGTGTGTGTGTGTGTGTATGGTGTGTGTATGTGTGTGTGTGTTGCAGGCTGTAAAGAGGAAGAGTTCACATGGACCAACTACCTGAAGATGACCAAAGCACAAGTGGCTCCAAAAGAAGTGTTTGGCAGTTCTGGACGGGTAAAGACATCAGAGACATCACAGACACACACACACACAGAGACACACATACACACAGACACACACTCACACACACTGACACACAGACAGACACAGACACACACACACTTACACACAGACACAGACACACACAGTCACATACACATACACACACACAGACACACACAGACCTCTCTCTGTGCAGACTGACCTCAGCTGTGGCTTTGATGTGGGGATGAAGCTGGAGGCTGTTGATCGCATGAACCCGTCTCTGATCTGCGTTGCCACGGTGACCGATGTGGTCGACAACCGCTTCCTGGTGCACTTCGACAACTGGGACGACACCTACGACTACTGGTGTGTGTGTGTGTGTGTGAGTCTGTTTGTGTGTGTGTGTCTGTGTGTGTGTGAGTGTTATTTTTGTAATCATTCCAAGTGTATTTTTGTTTCATACATCTCACTCTGCTGTAATAAGTGTCATGTATTAGTTTCACATAAGAGTCACTGAAGTAAATGGACTTTTGGACCATATTCTCACCTGTTGTTCAGCTCTGACCAGCAGGGGGCGGTGTGGCTGCTCTCAGGGACCAGCAGGGGGCGGTGTGGCTGCTCTCAGGGACCAGCAGGGGGAGGTGTGGCTGCTCTCAGGGACCAGCAGGGGGAGGTGTGGCTGCTCTCAGGGACCAGCAGGGGGAGGTGTGGCTGCTCTCAGGGACCAGCAGAGGGCGGTGTGGCTGCTCTCAGGGCTCTGACCAGCAGGGGGCGGTGTGGCTGCTCTCAGGGCTCTGACCAGCAGGGGGCGGTGTGGCTGCTCTCAGGGCTCTGACCAGCAGGGGGCGGTGTGGCTGCTCTCAGGGCTCTGACCAGCAGGGGGCGGTGTGGCTGCTCTCAGGGCTCTGACCAGCAGGGGGCGGTGTGGCTGCTCTCAGGGCTCTGACCAGCAGGGGGCGGTGTGGCTGCTCTCAGGGCTCTGACCAGCAGGGGGCGGTGTGGTGGCTGAACCATATTGGCTGCAGTGTAGGGACAGAAGTGTCCAGATAATATATTTTCTGATTCATGATTATCTCTGGTGTCGTCTCTGGTGTCGTCTCTGGTGTCGTCTCTGGTGTCGTCTCTGGTGTCGTCTTCAGGTGCGACTGCAGCAGCCCGTACATCCACCCCATCGGCTGGTGCCAGGAGAGAAACCTCCCCCTCACCCCTCCACAAGGTCACCCAGTTCACTGCTCCACCACTGGTGCAAACAACAACACACACACACACACACTCTCCCTCTGGTCTCTCTCTGGTCTCTCTCTGGTCTCTCTCTGGTCTCTCTCTGGTCTCTCTCTGGTCGGTCTCTGGTCTCTCTCTGGTCTCTCTCTGGTCTCTCTCTCTGGTCTCTCTCACTGGTCTCTCTCACTGGTCTCTCTGGTCTCTCTCTGGTCTCTCTCTGGTCTCTCTCTGGTCTCTCTCTGGTCTCTCTCTGGTCGGTCTCTGGTCTCTCTCTGGTCTCTCTCTGGTCTCTCTCTCTGGTCTCTCTCACTGGTCTCTCTCACTGGTCTCTCTCACTGGTCTCTCTCACTGGTCTCTCTGGTCTCTCTTTGGTCTCTCTCTGGTCTCTCTCACTGGTCTCACTGGTCTCTCTCTCTGGTCTTTCTCTGGTCTCTCTCTGGTCCCTCTCTGGTCCCTCTCTGGTCTCTCTCACTGGTCTCTCTCACTGGTCTCTCTCCGGTCTCTCTCTGGTCCCTCTCTGGTCTCTCTCTGGTCTCTCTCTGGTCTCTCTCTGGTCCCTCTCTGGTCTCTCTCTGGTCTTTCTCTGGTCCCTCTCTGGTCCCTCTCCGGTCTCTCTCTGGTCTCTCTCCGGTCTCTCTCTGGTCCCTCTCTGGTCTCTCTCTGGTCTCTCTCTGGTCTCTCTCTGGTCTCTCCTCACTGGTCTCTCTCACTGGTCTCTCTCCGGTCTCTCTCTGGTCCCTCTCTGGTCTCTCTCTGGTCTCTCTCTGGTCTCTCTCTGGTCCCTCTCTGGTCTCTCTCTGGTCTTTCTCTGGTCCCTCTCTGGTCCCTCTCCGGTCTCTCTCCGGTCTCTCTCCGGTCTCTCTCTGGTCCCTCTCTGGTCTCTCTCTGGTCTCTCTCTGGTCCCTCTCTGGTCTCTCTCCGGTCTCTCTCCGGTCTCTCTCCGGTCCCTCTCCGGTCCCTCTCTGGTCTCTCTCCGGTCTCTCTCTGGTCCCTCTCTGGTCTCTCTCTGGTCTCTCTCTGGTCTCTCTCTGGTCCCTCTCTGGTCTCTCTCTGGTCTTTCTCTGGTCCCTCTCTGGTCCCTCTCCGGTCTCTCTCCGGTCCCTCTCCGGTCCCTCTCCGGTCCCTCTCTGGTCCCTCTCCGGTCCCTCTCTGGTCTCTCTCTGGTCCCTCTCCGGTCTCTCTCTGGTCTCTCTCTCTGGTCTCTCTCTGGTCTCTCTCTGGTCTCTCTCTGGTCTCTCTCTGGTCCCTCTCTGGTCCCTCTCTGGTCCCTCTCTGGTCCCTCTCTGGTCTCTCTCTGGTCCCTCTCTGGTCCCTCTCTGGTCTCTCTCTGGTCCCTCTCTGGTCTCTCTCTGGTCTTTCTCTGGTCCCTCTCTGGTCCCTCTCCGGTCTCTCTCCGGTCTCTCTCCGGTCTCTCTCTGGTCCCTCTCTGGTCTCTCTCTGGTCTTTCTCTGGTCCCTCTCTGGTCCCTCTCCGGTCTCTCTCCGGTCTCTCTCCGGTCCCTCTCCGGTCCCTCTCTGGTCTCTCTCCGGTCTCTCTCTGGTCCCTCTCTGGTCTCTCTCTGGTCTCTCTCTGGTCTCTCTCTGGTCCCTCTCTGGTCTCTCTCTGGTCTTTCTCTGGTCCCTCTCTGGTCCCTCTCCGGTCCCTCTCTGGTCTCTCTCTGGTCCCTCTCCGGTCCCTCTCTGGTCTCTCTCTGGTCTCTCTCTGGTCTCTCACTGGTCTCTCTGGTCTCTCTCTGGTCTCTCTCTGGTCTCTCTCTGGTCTCTCTCTGGTCCCTCTCTGGTCCCTCTCTGGTCTCTCTCTGGTCCCTCTCTGGTCTCTCTCTGGTCCTTCTCTGGCCTCTCTCTGGTCCCTCTCTGGTCTCTCTCTGGTCTCTCTCTCTGGTCTCTCTCTGGTCTCTCTCTCTGGTCTCTCTCTGGTCTCTCTCTCTGGTCTCTCTCTGGTCTCTCTCTGGTCTCTCTCTCTGGTCTCTCTCTGGTCTCTCTCTGGTCTCTCTGGTCTCTCTCTGGTCTCTCTCTGGTCTCTCTCTCTGGTCTCTCTCTGGTCTCTCTCTGGTCTCTCTCTCTCTCTGGTCTCTCTCTGGTCTCTCTCTGGTCTCTCTCTGGTCTCTCTCTGGTCTCTCTCTGGTCTCTCTCTGGTCTCTCTCTGGTCTCTCTCTCTGGTCTCTCTCTGGTCTCTCTCTCTGGTCTCTCTCTGGTCTCTCTCTGGTCTCTCTCTGGTCTCTCTCTGGTCTCTCTCTGGTCTCTCTCTGGTCTCTCTCTGTCTCTCTGGTCTCTCTCTGGTCTCTCTCTGTCTCTCTCTCTGGTCTCTCTCTCTGGTCTCTCTCTGGTCTCTCTCTGGTCCTCTCTCTGGTCTCACTCTGGTCTCTCTGGTCTCTCTCTGGTCTCTCTCTGGTCTCTCTCTGGTCTCTCTCTCTGGTCTCTCTCTGGTCTCTCTCTCTGGTCTCTCTGGTCTCTCTCTGGTCTCTCTCTGGTCTCTCTCTCTGGTCTCTCTCTGGTCTCTCTCTCTGGTCTCTCTCTCTGGTCTCTCTCTCTGGTCTCTCTCTGGTCTCTCTCTCTTGGTCTCTCTCTCTGGTCTCTCTCTGGTCTCTCTCTGGTCTCTCTCTCTGGTCTCTCTCTGGTCTCTCTCTGGTCTCCTCTCTGGTCTCTCTCTGGTCTCTCTCTGGTCTCTCTCTCTGGTCTCTCTCTGGTCTCTCTCTGGTCTCTCTCTGGTCTCTCTCTGGTCTCTCTCTGGTCTCTCTCTGGTCTCTCTCTGGTCTCTCTCTGGTCTCTCTCTCTGGTCTCTCTCTGGTCTCTCTCTGGTCTCTCTCTGGTCTCTCTCTGGTCTCTCTCTGGTCCTCTCTGGTCTCTCTCTGGTCTCTCTCTGGTCTCTCTCTGGTCTCTCTCTGGTCTCTCTCTGGTCTCTCTCTGGTCTCTCTCTGGTCTCTCTCTGGTCTCTCTCTGGTCTCTCTCTGGTCTCTCTCTCTGGTCTCTCTCTGGTCTCTCTCTCTGGTCTCTCTCTCTGGTCTCTCTCTGGTCTCTCTGGTCTCTCTCTCTGTCTCTCTCTCTGGTCTCTCTCTCTGGTCTCTCTCTCTCTCTCTGGTCTCTCTCTCTGGTCTCTCTCTGGTCTCTCTCTGGTCTCTCTCTGGTCTCTCTCTGGTCTCTCTCTGGTCTCTCTCTGGTCTCTCTCTGGTCTCTCTCTGGTCTCTCTCTGGTCTCTCTCTGGTCTCTCTCTGGTCTCTCTCTGGTCTCTCTCTCTGGTCTCTCTCTGGTCTCTCTCTGGTCTCTCTCTGGTCTCTCTCTGGTCTCTCTCTGGTCTCTCTCTGGTCTCTCTCTCTGGTCTCTCTCTGGTCTCTCTCTGGTCTCTCTCTCTGGTCTCTCTCTGGTCTCTCTCTCTGGTCTCTCTCTGGTCTCTCTCTCTGGTCTCTCTCTGGTCTCTCTCTGGTTCTCTCTCTGGTCTCTCTCTGGTCTCTCTCTGGTCTCTCTCTCTGGTCTCTCTCTCTGGTCTCTCTCTGGTCTCTCTCTGGTCTCTCTCTGGTCTCTCTCTGGTCTCTCTCTGGTCTCTCTCTGGTCTCTCTCTGGTCTCTCTCTGGTCTCTCTCTGGTCTCTCTCTGGTCTCTCTCTGGTCTCTCTCTGGTCTCTCTCTGGTCTCTCTCTGGTCTCTCTCTGGTCTCTCTCTGGTCTCTCTCTGGTCTCTCTCTGGTCTCTCTCTCTGGTCTCTCTCTGGTCTCTCTCTGGTCTCTCTCTGGTCTCTCTCTGGTCTCTCTCTGGTCTCTCTCTGGTCTCTCTCTGGTCTCTCTCTGGTCTCTCTCTGGTCTCTCTCTGGTCTCTCTCTGGTCTCTCTCTGGTCTCTCTCTGGTCTCTCTCTGGTCTCTCTCTGGTCTCTCTCTGGTCTCTCTCTGGTCTCTCTCTGGTCTCTCTCTGGTCTCTCTCTGGTCTCTCTCTCTGGTCTCTCTCTGGTCTCTCTCTGGTCTCTCTCTCTGGTCTCTCTCTGGTCTCTCTCTGGTCTCTCTCTGGTCTCTCTCTCTGGTCTCTCTCTGGTCTCTCTCTGGTCTCTCTCTCTGGTCTCTCTCTGGTCTCTCTCTGGTCTCTCTCTGGTCTCTCTCTCTGGTCTCTCTCTGGTCTCTCTCTGGTCTCTCTCTCTGGTCTCTCTCTGGTCTCTCTCTGGTCTCTCTCTGGTCTCTCTCTCTGGTCTCTCTCTGGTCTCTCTCTGGTCTCTCTCTCTGGTCTCTCTCTGGTCTCTCTCTGGTCTCTCTCTCTGGTCTCTCTCTGGTCTCTCTCTGGTCTCTCTCTCTGGTCTCTCTCTGGTCTCTCTCTGGTCTCTCTCTCTCTGGTCTCACTCTGGTCTCTCTCTGGTCTCTCTCTGGTCTCTCTCTCTGGTCTCTCTCTCTGGTCTCTCTCTGGTCTCTCTCTCTGGTCTCTCTCTGGTCTCTCTCTGGTCTCTCTCTGGTCTCTCTCTGGTCTCACTCTGGTCTCTCTCTGGTCTCTCTCTGGTC